TCAGTGAGATATTAAAGTTCCCTACTATGATTGTATTGCTGTGATATCTCCCTTGATATCCTCCAGATGCTCCTGTATTGAGTATATACATATAGTTTACCAGAGTTATATCCTCTCATTGTATCAATCCTTTTAGTATTATGAAGTCGCTGTCCTTATCTCTTGTGATGGGCTTCACTTTGAGGTCTCTTTTGTCAGATATAAGTATTGCTACCCCAGCTTTCTTTTCATTTCCATTTGCCTGAAAAATACTTTTCCATCCCTTCACTTTCAGATTTCATGAATCCTTTGTTCTGAGGTGAGTCTCTTGTAAACAGCATATATATGGGTCATGTTTTCTTATCCATTCGGCTAACCTTTGCCTTCTGATTAGAGCATTTAATCCATTTACATTTAAGGTTATTATTGATAGGTACTCCTTTGTTGCCATTTTTATTCTCTATGCCTGTGTTCCTCCCTCCCTTTCTATTTCTTCTTTTTACAACAGTCCCTTTAGCATTTTGTTTATTGCTAGTTTGATAGTAATAAACTCCTTTAGCCTTTTTTGTCTGTGAAGCTCCTGACTTCACCTTCAATTTTGAATGATAGCCTTGCTGATAGAGTGCTGTTGGATTCAGTACCTTGGTTTTTATCACTTAGTATACTTCATGCACTACCTTCTGGCCTGATGTGTTTCTATTGACCAATCCACTGATAGTCTAATGGGAGATCCCTTGTAGGTAACTTTTTGCCTCTCTCTGTCAGCCTTTAAGATTTTTAGTTTGTCAGCAGATGTTCTTGTTTTTTCTGTTGTCCCAAAGCTTGCTTAAAGTCTCCTGCTTTTTAGTGTAGTTTTTTTTTCCAGTTGCTGCTCTGCTTGGGTGTTTTTTTCTACCTTGTCTTCTAACTCACTGATTCTGTCCACAGCTTCTTCTAGTCCACAGTTGAAACCTCCAGGGTGTTCTTTGTTGCACTATGTCATTTTTCATTTTCTTTTAATTCTTACTCATGTTGATGTATTTCTCATTCAGCTCCTTATACTTCTCATTGAGTTGCTAGTAATTCTCATTCAGATCTTTGAGCATCCTTATAACCATTACTTTGAATTCTTTATCTGACAAATTACTTGCCTCCATTTCATTTAGCTCCTTTTCTGGTGAGTCCTCCTTTTCTTTCATTTAAGGGTTGTTTCCTTATCTCTCCACTTTTTGTGCCTTCATTTATTTCTATGTATTACTAATAAATCAAACTGCTATACCACCCAGATTTTTTGAGTTGGTCTTATTTAATAGGTGCTTTGTGGGACCCAGTGGTGCAGTCTCTCCGGGCTCCCTAATTTAGGTATTTGAATTCTCCTGTTCTTTTTGAGTCTTGAATGTTATTGTCCCATTCGTGAATGGAGTCTCCTTCCAGGGTGTCTGATTATGTGGCTTACCCCTGACCATGTTGTACCAGGCATTTTGGACTTGCTGACTAAACAGCACAAAATACAACCAAAGAACAACACAAAATACAACATAACACAGGAGAAACAGAACAAGAATGTACACAAGTCCCCTATAGCTCCCAACAAAAGTGACCACCAGAGAAAAGAGAATTTGGAAAGAGAAAATAGAGCAAGAATGATAGAAAAAAGAAAGAAAGAAATATGGGGAGAAAACACAACATAACAAACAACAACAACAAAAAAAAACAAGAAATGGGGAGAAGACTCTGTAAATACAGAGCTTAAATAAAGAAATAAGAATGAAGAATTAGAGAAATAGGGGAAGGAAATGGTTTAGAATAAAGGAGGGAGATAAGAAATGAGAAAATAAGAAAAAAAATTTTGAAAAGGAAAGAGAGCAAATAGACCTAAATTTAGGAAGTGAAACAATAAATTAGGAGAAAAAGAAAGAAAAAGAGATTATAAAAAAATTAATAGTGAATGAAAAGAAAAGAGAAAGGAAAATTGAATAGGAACAGGGAAGAGGAAAATTAGATATATGAACAAAACAACAGAGACTAGAATAATAACAAATCAATATAGGAGAAAAATAAGGAAGATAAATTTTAAAAGAAAGGAAAGAGCCCAAACCGGTTTGGCTCAGTGGATAGAGCATCGGCCTGCGGACTCAAGGGTCCCAGGTTCAATTCCGGTCAAGGGCATGTACCTTGGTTGTGGCCACATTGCCAGTAGGGAGTGTGCAGGAAGCAACTGAATCGATGTTTCTCTCTGATCAATGTTTCTAACACTCTATCCCTCTCCCTTCCTCTCTGTAAAAAATCAATAAAATATATTTTTTAAAAAGAAAGGAAATAGAAAAACTAAAAAGAATCAAGGAGAATAAAAACAGGAGTAAAAAAGAGAAAAGAGGAAGAAAAAAGTTGGGGGTGGGAACTGAAGTGTCATTCATTTCAGCTGAGTTTTAATACCCCATGGGAACTGGCTTAGGATGCTACTTTTTTGTCTGTCTGCCAATACTGGGTTCCAATACTGCCAATACTGCCAATAGGTGCTAACTATTATCGGGTATGGTACTGTCTGTTGGCTTTTAGGAACCTGCTTGAAGCTCCAAGCAATGCACCGGTCCACCGCTTGTGTCTGTCTCCATATACCTTGACTGTAAGCAGGAGGGGCCAATCTGCCCTCTAGAGTAGGTTTGTTAGACGCCCAGAGCCAGGGCTGATTCAGCACACTTCCCCCGATTCCCTGAGTTCCACCTCTGCCCACCTTGGCCTGTCAGCCAGCTGTCAATCTTCATCACTCTAAAGTCTGCTTCTGACAGCGCTTTAGGTGGGGTAGGTGCTCTTTTGCTTTCAGGGAATATGATGAGTGTGTTTTCCTGTTCCAAAGCTGCTCTTCCATGAGTGGCCCAAAATATTACTCTGCCCTTGGGACCCTGGAGTTTTTATCACTGTGGTTCCTAGAATAGTGGGGCAGATGGCCCCTCTCCCATCAGCTCACTGAGTGCTCCTCGAGACTGTTCTACCCTTAAACTTGGCCTCTGCCTTTGCTCCCTCAGTAAAGCTCAAAATTTGGGGTGTGGCAGGCTGTACCACGTAGGGCAGGGTTTATTTCTTTACCTGCTCTTTGGGTGTTGGGAGCAGTTAGCTCCTCACAGAAAAAAATGGCCATTTGGAAGTGTACTAATGACCCAATGACTCCTGGCTACTTTTTTTTTACATCTCCCTGCATTGCTTCCCACCCCAGCTCTCCTTAGGCACCTCAAGGCCTTGCCTCCCTCCCTGTGCCAATGCCTCAGGTATGTAGTTGCAAATGAAAACTCCTGTGCTCTAGAGATTTAAAAAAAAAAAAAAGCAACCAAACTGCTGCAATCTCTCCCACTGGCTCTGGTCTGCTGGGCCAACAGCCCTGCTACCTTTCATAGCTGATTGGATGGTATGTGTGCCACAGGTCAGCCACAGGTGTGTGGATCCCAGCTTGTGCTCCCAGCATCTATTTTCTGAGGGGATAGTTCTCCCCATAGCACAGTGCTCCCTCCTCTCTCAGCTCCCCTCCACTTGCAACTTCCCCCTTCCTACCTGTCTCCAGGTGTTTACTGTTCTTCCTTGTTATAAGTCATCTCCTCAGCTGGACCTCAGTTGGTAATTGTGGGTGAATGTTCTCTAATTTAGTTGTATTTCTAGTTTGGCCCCGTGATGAGGTGCCCAATGGGTCTGCCTATCTGACTGCCATTTTCTCCTCCCCTCTCGACTGACTATACCATCTCTGGGTTGGACATCCCAGGGGACCATACCCCAGGGGTGGCTGCTCAGAGAACACCTGGCCTAGCCCATCCTTTCTCCAGAGACACAGGAGGACCCAGGCCTCCACACATCACTAGGCTTTGCTCGCTTTCCAGGGGAGCAGGGAAGGGATTTCAGGCATCTGCAGGCAGATGGAGCCAGCAGTGATAAGGCAGAACCATGACTCACCCAGAGAGAGGGGTTAGTACAGAATACAGAGAGAGGAGGAGGGGGCTGAGCCAGGGATCCTGGAGGCTCTGAGCAGGGTCCACAGTCCCACCTTGCCGAGGACAGAAGAGCCTGAAACCAGGTGTCATCGGAGACCATTGCCCCAGGCTCAGTCCTCTCCTGAGAAGATCAGACCACATGCCATGGGGGCCCATACCACTGGGGGACAGAAGACAGAGGCTGAGCCCCTCTTGGCCAGGCACACAAATGTGTCCCTGCTAGAAGAACAAGGAGCCAGATGTCAGAAACACGTGCCACTCTTCACCCATCAGCTGCTGCTCCCTGCTCCAGGCACCCAGTCCTTGCCCACCACTGGCCATACTCACATATGGGTTCTCATCACTCCCTGCCAGTCCAGGGGATGCCTTAAGGGGGATCAGAAGGGGCACCTTCACCACCCCAAGGCTGCATGGCTGGATGTCAGCCCCACTGCCCTCATGGCCTGGCACCCACTGTCCAGGTGGCGCTGGCCTATCTGGCATCATTTTCACATTCTGGGCCCCGACCTACAAGCCTTGTCCTCGATGGGTCAGGCTCAGGGTTGGTTCTCAGTCCATCGCCATGGGCTGGAGTCTCAGAAGTCGTGTGGATGGGAGAGCGCTGTCTCACCAGAGTCACCAGGATTCCAAGGAGAGCTCAGCCCACAGCACCACCCGGGGGAGTCAGGACCAAGGCCACCAAAAGGAGCCTGCTCAGGGCCTGCAGCACTTCTCCCACACTTGGTTCCAGGAAGGCCCACTCGGGCCTTTACCCAAGTCCTCAGGCTGGGACACAGGTGGCAGTGATGTCCCTGCCCTATCTGGGAGCTGCCCGAGAGGAGGTGGTGGTGGAGGGATTCAGAGGGAGGACTTGGGCCACTTCTGGCCACATCTGGACAACAGAGCACCTAGGCCACCATGCTTACCCACAGGACACCTCCATATGAATTAGAAAAGGCACCACTCACCTGGCAGGAGGCGGTGGGGCCTTCCAGACGCTTCGATGGCAGGAAACATGGCTGAATCCCAGGCTTGAAGGCTGCCCATGCTGTAGGAATACACCACCCTCTCCTTCCCCTTGCAAGTATGGACAAAAGGCAGTTGAAACCCAAAATCTGTAAAAGCTGCAGCAACTGTGTCAACACACATGGCAGCTACACCTGCATGTGCCTGGCAGGATTTGAGCTCAACCCGCAGGGCCTGAAGCTGTGGAAAGGTAGAGGCCGGGGAGGACGCTGAGAGGATAGAGTGGATGGAGCTGGGAAAGGAGCTGACGCAGGTCCTGCAGCCCCAAGAGGCAGGAGAAGATTCTCAGGTTCCCTGCCAAGGCCCTGACTAAGGATTCACCTCCCTGAAAAGTCCTGCCACAGAACAGGGTGGTGACAGGGCCCTCTGGGACTTAGGTTTCCTCTGGAGCCCCTGTGAGCACACCCAGACCCTTCCCTTTCCTCATCATTCCTTGGGGTGATGACAGTGTCCCTTCTGATCCCCCTGAAGGCACCTCCTGTACTGGCAGGAAGTGATGACAAGTCCCATGTGAGTTAGGCCAGAGCTGTGACTTCTGGTTCCCAAAAGGAGACCTGGTCCAGCAGTCAGGAAAACGTAGGCAGGAGTTCTTGGTCAGGAAGTTCTGCCCTCATGACTCAGTTTCCCTCCTGAATTTGCCACTTATAAACTGGAGACTATGGTCCCTGCCATGTCCATCTTGTAGGAGGCCACTGTAATGTGCTTTGAGGGTGAAGTTGAAGGTCACCAGGTGGTGGCATGTGTACTAACAGTGCGATCCTCAGGCAATGAGAAGTGGGTGCAGGGAGGGCCTGATGCTCTGGCTTTGTCCTCAGATGTGAATGGATGTACCTCAGGGCAAAAACCCCTGCCAAAGGCCTGGCTGGTGTGGCTCAGTAGTTGAATGTAGAGCA